ATGGAAACGCGACTGATTAATCGTCGGCAAGGGATTAACAACAAACAAGGCACTGGTCCGATGGGTTTCCCGGTGGATCGGAATTCGAGGAACTTCTCTCGGTTGAACGGAATCAGAGAAAAATCGAAGGCCGATATTATCATCTGTCATTCATGTGCGAGCGCTGATAACTACGATCTTTAAACGGGCACACCCGCTGAATTTTCTTATTGTGTATTGTCGCGTGTATCTATCGTCGGCGCAAACGAGTAAACGGTTTAATGAACTGCGTCTATCTTGCGGCCGCCCCGCACGATGGTACATGTGCACCGAGGAACCTATTCAAACCGTTCGTACGCCGACTATGACTAAACCCGTAGTTTTTGCCGCGGAATTGTCGGGCAGCGCGTTCTGCCCCAAGGCTCGCAACGAGCCTGAAAAAAAAGGACGGTAGCTGATGATGTCGTCTCGCCGCTAATATAATGAAAATTGTTATGCGCCGCGCTAGGAGCAATTATAACTTCCGGTCCCCTTTTTCTCAAACTATTTCATAACGAAACACCATCGTATGTGAATTTAGTAATCGCTGAATACCCTCGCCAGCGATCTATTATCTTCCGCAGCGACGGCGTCATTGAAATTCAAAGTGCACCGTGATTAGAAAACCTGTTCATCCTTAAAACGGCGTACAGCCATTAAACGGTTATTAATGAGATTCAAGTTTTACATTTCTTCGGGAACGAATAGCGACCGGGTAAACAATATTTCATTAGTCGGCAAACGTTAATCATTAACTATTACGTAATTATTCGGTATGGTCGACGTTTACAAGAACATTTTAGGATCTCGTGTGAAGGAATATTATATAAGATTGTTTTCGCCGATAAAGCGTCGAAGGAGTCGCCAAACCTGTACAGCGTCGAATGATTTTTAAAATGATCTAGAAGACTCGATTGATTCGAATTATTTATGACCGTTAAACGACTCGAATTACTACAGAAATTTCGGTACCCCGCGTGGTTACCAAATAACTCTTAAGGCGTGCGCGTGCGGTCGCTCGCCGCGCGAGTGAGCTACTTTTGCTCTCGACGATTCAAACAAGAATGGCACGTGTGTTTCGCTGTTATTTGGCTCCACTTTCGTTTGCCCTCGCGGAGAGGTGTCCGTACAGTCGAATCAACCAATCGCGCTCTAATAACACCGTTACAGCGAAGGCCGATTTCGATAGGCTCGCGCGTGTATCGTGTTTCTTGTTTGCCATTTTTTCCTTTTTTATTTCTTTTTCCTCCTCTTCTTCTTCCTCGATCGTTGTTGTTTCGTCGCCACGTTGTCGTTGACATTGTTTTCGTTCGCCACTGATTCGCCCGTTGCATCGATGACGGGACGTCGTTGGGAACCAAATAGGAAACCGGGAAAGGCGGCGACGGTTGCCCGCGCGAAAGGACAATAACAAATTTTTCTACGGCGCGCGATTTGGCTGATGGAACGCCAAAGGCAGATTTCCAGGACAGTTCGAACCGGTTGATACCAGTTCCTTCTAGATGTACGCACGTTACACGCGTGTGTGCATCGCACAGACAAGAAAATTCCCTGTTCGTTCATTATTTTCGATTAATCGATCCGTTCCGGTGATTAATTGCCGGTACATCCGATGGTTCTTTTCTGTCCGCGCACCGAAGTAGGCGTTCGTCGTTGTTAAGGGATAAGCTTATCGGTTCCAGTTTACGGGGTATTTGACTGGCCTTCCCGATGTAATCAATTCGTGTTTCTTCTCGCGCGTCGCTTGTCTGCGGATTTCATGAGTACGAGATAAGGCAGAGATTTTCATCGGTTTTAATCTATTTATTACCCCGCGTCTAAGTCGGAGAACACCGGCGGAGATGGATGTTTGTTTATTTTCAACTGTAGAAGTCTACTCTATAAAGCCATGAATCAGCGTAAAGAATTGCAGTTATTACTAATGCTCATAAGCACGTATCATTGATAATATGGGAAATATAGCTCTCTTTGTATTCGCAGTCTCGTCGCATCGATACTTTCGTCTCTCGTTGTGCACGAAATCATAATTATTCTTCGATTTCCGTGCTCCGATTCAAAATATTTTATAATCGTTTTATCACTGGCTGAACTGCAACCAGTGGTGCTCTGTACGGATCGAATCGTACAAACGAATTGCTGCAAGATCGATTGATATTAAATTTGTCACGAGGTCCCCAGGATCGAATAACAACGCGTTCCATTGTGAGACGCTGCATCTAATACCGGACGCAGCTCAAATTAGGAAACGGGATCAGACGTCCCATATTATTCGCCCAAATAGCCACGCTTTTGTTTACTCCCGTAGAATATACGAAACACATTACGCGACAATTAAGGCATTAGAATTATCGCATTCCTCAAGTCTTTCCGTTCCGATAAATCACTCGACTCATTTCGCATTCCTTGAGTGATTCGCTCGTGTTCACGGCGAAGACAATGGGCGCAGCATCTAAGGGTAGCATCTCAAACAAAAACGATCGGCACACATGAATATTGAATCGCGTTTCGGCATTATATAATAGATCGATTGTATTATACATCCCCACACCGGGAATTAGTATGCGGGATCAACGAGTGTTTGCAACGGAGATTGTTTTTCCTGCGCTCTTTTGTAATTATGTTGGATAACTGCGTGGAGAGCCACGATACTATACTAACGCATTAGTACGGCTTATGGCCAAGGACATATCTAAATGACCGTGGTGATTATATTTGAAAAACGAATATTCCAGGAATGACGAAAAAAATCACTGGATAATTGCATTCCTCTGTCGCTGCATGCCTGACCGGCCACTCGCAGAATAATTTTCATTAAGATATTTAATAAACACGATAGATGCATCGGTTGCGTGTACCGATGCAACGGCCGATGGACCATGAAGAAAGACAATTAATGTAATCGGGTGACTGGGCCGCTGACCGCCGTCGAATCGCCACTACCATTAATCAGTTTATTTACCTGCGTTAATTGCCCATGAATCTCGACCTTTAGTTCTAAACAACCCGGCAGTATCCGACGGATTTCGAATTGTTTCTCCCACAGAAACGAGAGAGTTTCAGAATTTTGTCGCTATGTCGTTTTGTCCGATACATCTCGCTTTTTCGGCCAAACTGATTTGCCAGTTTCTTTCTAAAAGCAAATTTGATTGTTTAATTGTATCAATTTTCTACGGGACAGTCACAGTGCAAAGACAACACCGGGTTGTTAAGGGTTAAACGGAATTACGCTCGGCCCGATAGAATCGTCCGGCCGCGTTATCCGTAACCGTACACTCATATTGTCGGTCTTATCAATCAGACTTTCAGCACAACGCGTAGAATAGTATTTTAATATGTATTTGCCCGCGATCATAAGAATAACGCGTGTTCCACTGGCCCGATATAAAAAGATAAGAAAATAAAGACCTCAGCCGGACTGTTCGTTACTTCATAATCTGCCGGGGGGGCAATATTTCGTTATCATATCGGTAGAAAAGTAGTTTTACGCAACGAATATTCTGCGAATTACAATATTCGTCGGGTGCTAGGACCAGTGGATGCCCGTTCACAGACTTCACGTACAGTTGGCCACAAAAGTGTCTCTTCGCTATCCCCGAAAACCGCGCGCAACGTTGACCCACTTTTAACTCGCATTATGTTAAATTTCTCCCAATAGTGTTCCTATATGCCGCCTGGGAACTCTTCATCATTAGAACTTCGGATTGATTATGAATTGCTCTCTGATCATGTTAATTCTGGAGAATATTAAATAAATTAAAAAGTAATCGTCTTTAAGAGTGCCTTTTGGAGGTGTACATGACAATAGTTGCCTCCTTTTCAAAGTTTAAATTATTAAGTTTCGTGCATGCTTAATAAATGTTTGCGAATGTTTACGTTTAAAACGTATTGTTTGAGGTACGAGTTTTTAACTTTTCCATTGTTACAAAGATGATGTTATTGATGATACCAAAACAATACATTGAAAGCTATTTATAATCCTTGATTATCTTGGTTTGTGTTATGAGGATATACGAACTCGTGTCTCAGGTTTCAATATTAATAACAAAATTCAAGAATCGCCGATCGCTTATTTTTAATGCCTAAAAAAAGGAGATATTATATGTTATCTTTATGTTACCATGTTCATTGTAACGTATTTAGTTACACTTGGATAGTATTCATTATAATATGCACGATAAATTTACTGTTGTAATGCATGTTGGATAATTAGTTTATCAATCGTAAATACTGTTTAAAGTGGTCAGTTACTTTTGCAACCAACTGTAGTTTATGATTCTGTTTTTAGGATAAGAACGGTGACGACATGGCGCATCCAAAAAAATGGAAGAACTGCATGTCAGAGAACATGCTAACGATGTTGACTGTGCTCGGTGTTTTAGCCGGTACTGTCCTCGGTTTCATACTGAGATACTCCAGGGACGAGCCATGGACGAAGCGTGAGATAATGTACATCCAGTTTCCAGGAGATATTTTTCTTAGGATGCTGAAGGCTCTTATTTTGCCATTAATCGTAGCTAGCATTGTCAGCGCTATCGGTGGATTAGATCTAAGCTTATCCGGTAATTCTTGTACACCTACTCATTTTATCAGTATTTTAAATCGTTCCCGATTCGCACGGAGACATTTCTGGACGACTTGCGTTTCGGATAACATCAATCATCCTTGTTTCTTCGAACATAACGCACCCGATCGCCGCCGTGTAATTCATTCTCAGAATTTCGTTTCTCGTTAAAGCGATGCAAGTTGATTTGCATATTATGTTTACAATACGCAAACAGTTTGGTCCTAACATTATGTAATAAGTAATAGTGATACTGTGTAGAATACGATGGAAAATATGCGTAGCTCGTATCTGCGGATTCCAACAATTACAATGTTTGAATTGGCAGGCATCCGATTCGCGAAAGGTTGCAACGCGGATTTTAATTAAGCTCGAGTTTTAACAAACGTTTATCAGAAAACACCTTCTTCAGTGTTCAGTTACTCTCGTGTATTTACACGCATGTGGACTAGTGATCTGTAGCATCCAATTACTTCTGTCTGCGTGGGTGTGCAAACTTGTTTACGCGAAGATCTTTAAAAGCGTAGATTACTGAAATTTTCTAGTTAGATCCGACTCGCCACTGCGAACAAATTCGATAGCGGAAGCTATTATCTCCGTTTCAGATTGTTGACTTGTTGCTGTTAATGACTTGATGATTAATTCGAAACGACGATGTTTTATCTGCCAAGCGAACGTTCGCTCGATCGAGTTCTCTTTTTTTTTCCTCTCTCCTTGTCTGAACATTGAAGAATCGTGATATTTCGTCTCGCGATAAGAACTTGACAAACTATACATAAATCTTGATCACTTTGTGTAACTTTAATACACATGGCGGTGATACGTTTTCCTTGAAGATAAAAATGCAGGAAAAAAACCAATCTTGTAATCTATGTTTTGTTTTGTAGGGAGGATCGGTGTACGATCGATTTATTATTATGCGTCGACTACGATATCCGCGGTAGTTCTTGGAATAATACTCGTTTTAATTATTAAACCTGGAGAGGTCAGCTCGCATGGTTTAACTACAAATGAGGCTGCAAAACCACCCAGGAATGTTACTACCGTAGATACACTATTAGATCTAGTCAGGTATAATGTTGTTACACCTTCTCTTCCTGAGATGAATTTTTAGCAGCATCTTATGAAATTCTTTTGTTTTATAGGAATGTGTTCCCACCCAATCTTGTACAAGCCTGTATTGCTCAAGTACGTATCATTGAAATGGAATTAAGTAACAATTTTCTTTTAATTGTTAGTTTTAATTCCATATCAAAGGCATCAGACATAAATCTATTATGCCTGTTAAGACAACATTTTAATCGACCGTTGTTTTGTTGCAGTACCGTACAATATTAATTGAGCCTGAAGATGCAATAAAAGGTAAGTACAAATTTGAACCTCTGATTACAGAACTAAACGTGACAAGAAGATTTTAATTTAGTTCATTTGTGTTCCAGCCGCTAATTTACAGAACTGGGAAATATCTCACAAATATGGAGATGGTACAAATACTTTAGGCTTAGTAGTTTTTGGAATTGTGTTCGGTATAGCTATTAGCAAAATGGGAGAGGCTGGAAAACCCCTACTGACTTTCTTTGATACTTTGTCTGAAGCATCTATGCTTATTACTAAATGGGTTATATGGTACAAATTTGCATAATATATTATGATGAATTAATTCAAGTCTGGATAAACTATGTTCTAATGTTCTTTTTTATTCTTAGGATTTCTCCAATTGGTGTTCTCTTTCTTGTCACCTCTAAACTTTTAGAAATCGAAGATATCGGCGCCATTGTTGGACAACTAGGTTTATATTTCGTCACAGTATTATTAGGTCTGATTATACATGGTTGCGGTACGTTGTCCATCATATTCTTCATTTGTACCAGAGAATTGCCATTCAAATTACTTGCCAAAATGGGTCAAGTTTTGGCCACTGCATTTGGCACTTCATCTAGGTAACTTCTTCATGATGTCCATACGTTATTCTATAATAGACTATTCTTAAATATTTAAAACATATATTCTTATGTTTACAGCACTGCCACTCTTCCTGTAACAATACAGTGTTTAGACAACATTGGTGTAGATCCTAGAATTACAAGATTTGTTGTGCCAATTGGTGCTACCATCAACATGGATGGAACTGCATTGTATGAAGCTATTGCTGCCATATTTATAGCTCAAGTCAGAAAAGTTCCAATGTCTCTCGGTACTGTTATTGGTGTTAGGTAAATCAATAAAGTAAAAAACAAATTAATTGGAATTACTGCACGCATACTTATTATAACATTATAATATAATTTTTCAGCGTAACTGCTACTGCAGCCAGTATAGGAGCTGCTGGTATTCCACAAGCTGGTCTTGTTACAATGGTTATGGTTTTGGATACCGTAGGTTTGCCTGCTGAAGATGTAACGCTTATTATTGCGGTCGATTGGCTCTTGTTAGTATATATTATTTTTTTATTTTTCAAACTGAATATCGTTTAGTTATATTTTTATAATAATCATGTAATTCATTTGTAGGGATCGTTTCCGAACAACGATAAACGTTATATGCGACGCACTCGGAGCTTATGTTGTTGAACATATGAGTAGGAAGGAACTTGAATCAACTGTCAATCTTCCAGAAGAGACAATTGAACTAGCCAGAGTAAGGAAAGTTGAGGCATAAATTATCAATCTTTCCTTTTGCTATTTGCCATGATATTATATAAACACAATTTTACTGTGTTTGTATTTTTTTTTGTATACTTCATAGTCAATTACTTGTACTAATGTATACTCATCCTGGGTGCAAATCTTACTTTACAAAGTAATCTATATATAAATATATATATATATATTTATATAATTGCCGAATATTGTTATTAGCAGGATACTTATTTAGAAATTTAAAGCAACAAGATCAAGCACTAATGTACTTTTAAAGTCGCATCATTCATTTTAATTTTTCATGAATGTATTAAATACATTGTTTTTGTTTTGTCTTGTTATAATATTGTTTTATAACGGTTGTTCTTATATGTAAAACCAAAATACAACATGACTCATACTGTTAAAACATTCCACATATTTATTGAGTACAGCAAGTATAAAAAATTATCTTGAATATTGTTTCTACATGTATCATTTATGTACATATATAGTATTTATTATACAGATTTTATTAGTAATAAGTCTTAAGAAATAATATTCTGTAAACCATACTTAAATATGTACTTTTATAATTAATTTTGTGATTAAATTTTGGATATATTCCAATTTATGAATTCCTTATGTCACTCACTAAATCCTTTGATAGGCTTATATTTACATTTTGTAAACAATTCTGTTTATACAGTTACCTATTTAGAAAAATTTTACACCTTGATTGTCGTCAAATAAAATTAACTCTGCTTTCTTATTTGCTTCTAAGGTCCTGAGTGCTCTAATTAATACTTCTGTGTCAAGCCCATGAAATTCTAAAAATATTTCACTCATTATTCAGTTTTCATATTTTTTGTAAGTAATGTAACTTTTGATAAAGCACATACCTTGTTCTATTGTATCTTCTCCTTGCGTTAATTCAAATAAAGTGCATACAGATCCAATAAACCCTTTTTCTTGTGCCCAATTATAAATCATCTCACCCCATTCTTCTAAAGTGTGCCAATAAACTAACCATCTTTGTTTATTCTTATCTAATGAACTCGCATTCTCAGTCTTTGCTAATTCTTCTAAAAGTAATAGAACAACTTCTGATGGTAACTTTCCTAATATATACATTAAGGAAGAAAATGTTATGACTTCATCTATAAGTAACTTTTACATGAAGGATACGGTTAATTGCAGCATTATTAAACAATGGGCTTGAGTGGGCTTCTCGAATATCAACAATAGACTGTTTTGTCACACGGTAATATTCTAATATTAAACTTTTCCATGCTGCTAATTGTTTAGCTCTAGTGTCTGTATGAGGTTGAAGACTAGAAAAAAATATTAAAATCACACAATAAGCTGATGAATATGAATAATTACATATTATCAAAAATGAATTTAACATTCTGAATGTGACATTCTTTATACGTTAATGAATATGTAAGTTTAACCTCAATGTGTCATACGCACGTTAGTATTCGTTTTAGCGTACATATTTATTATTAGATATTTAATATTATTATTATTGTAAAAGATAACAATTTCAATTAATGTTACTGTTAGAAATATATTATTAAGCTATTAATACTTACGTAAAGAACGGAGGAAAACTATACTGCCACGGCCACTCAATTTCTGCCATTCTTACTACAATGTCCAAAAATTTTCAAAAATCATATATTATAGTAAATAATTAATCTTCCGTGATATTTTTTATAGATTTAATTAAATTATCAGTATCAAAAATATTTACACGAATGACGTTTACACTTCCATGCATGCGAATTTAATAATGTCAACTTTAGATCGTCTGCATTGCCGCACCAAGATTATTGTTCACGAATGGAAACTAAATCGATAAATAGATGTCAGGTATTCTTACAGATTAATTAACTAGTCCTTATGCAAGATTACACCATATTAAAAATTAAACTTTCAAGTATATACAAAGTGTCTTATAACCGGATGTTATGTCAAACTTGATAATGCATACAAAATTAAAAGTAACATAAAAAGGATTTCGACACTTTTAATGTTTGGTCACGATTTTGAATACGCGAACATAATTCTTTTTGATTCCTAAATATTGTACCTGGTAATATATACATTATTTTGATTAAAATTTTTATTTCAATCAGAGGAAGCAAAAGTAGGTAATAATATCACGAAATATTCGAAGATGGACATAGATACTTACACTTCATTAAAAGGTTTCATTAAACTTAGTTTTATTACAAACGTATTAAAATTTTTATTGTGGCAAAACAGAATATACGAGAAACGTCAGTAATTCAGTATCAAATCAAGAAAAAGTAACTATTTAATACAATACTGTTACATAATTTACATGGTTGTTTATATTTCCATAAAATGCTCGAAATGCCAAATTTGTTTCAAAAATAAATACGACAGCTAATCATTTTTGTTTTAACAAAATATAAATATGTAAACTTTGGCGCGATAAAGTAGCATCATAAAAAACTTACATTAATAGTTTATCTTATGAAGTATATTTTGTCGAGAATTATATGATAAAATGAAGTTTAATGAAGCTAGAAAGAGAAATATCTTTATGGCAACAGTATTAATTGTTGTATGTATATAGATATATACTTATGTGTACGACTTAATGAGAACGAAATATAAAAAAATATTAAATCTCAAAGTTCTTCCGTATTTTTCAATTGTTTAATAACGTTTTCATATTTCTTTTCTAAGCTTCTGTATTTTTTTTCTAGCTTTTGCAAACCATATCCAATCGTTTAATAACTCTTTTATATTCCTCTTCCAAACTTCTATATTCTTTTTCTAGAGTTTGCAGACGTTGTTCTGTTGTAGGTAGTGTAACATTTGATTTTTTATCGATGTTTTTTAACGCACATTCCAACTTTTTTAAGTCGTTCTGTTCACGTTTGTATGGGATGTTTAATCTCCTTTTTACATCTAATCTGTATTCACGATACTCGTTCTCGTTTGCTAAATCAGTTGCATGTAATCTCAAAATTTCATATACCCTACGAGCTTGTCTCTAAAAATCAAAATAATTTCTTACTGAATATGTATATACCCAATTTATATAAAAATCAAATGTCTATTATTAATACCTTGTTTATTTTGAATTTTTGTTTCGCTTCTGCAGCCATTGCTTTATTAAAACCTTGAAGCAAATATTCCCGTTGAAAAGTAGGTAATGTGCTACAATTCACTGCATCCACATAATCTCTTAATCGTTGAAAAGTCACTGATGGGTCTTCAACTATAAAAATGATAACAATGCATTACCAACATGAGGTGGTTTTACTAAAACGAAATTAAATGATCAAGCTTCACTTGAGAGTGCCAAATAAGTTGTCCTTGAGACAAAACAATGAGATACGGAGAAATATTTGTAATGTTAGTCATTATGTATTCATGTACCTGTTATATCCTTGACTCGATTTCTTCCTATATATTCGTGATAAATAGCATGTAACAAATGGGTACCAAGACCCATATTTTGAAATGGTGGTAATATTAAAACTTGAGCTATACGGGGCCTTATATGATGTGGATATGCATAATATTGATATACAGTAGCAAAACCAGTAGTTGCATAGCGAACAGTACCATCTGCTGAGCGATATTTTTCAAACCTATTTAAAATGGAAAAGGAATTATACATGTATTTAGCAAGTACTGAAGAAAAAATAATGAATCTCACATGTTAAAGTAATCCCATCGATCATCATCTATATCTATAAAGTTAGCAGCATCTATGTACCAAAGGACAAATGTCTGGAGACGTTGATGGTATTCTTTAAACCCTTTGTAAGTCATATCAGCTTTATAAACTTCAAATTTTCTACCATCTACATATAAATACTTATTAATTTCTGGCACATAATTCTTAACAGTCACTGAAAAAATGAATTACCATCAATAGAAAATGAATGCAATAATGCTCCTTGAGGTCTGAATGTATCATCCTTTTCCAGGGATTTAATAAATGAATCTAAGTTATCGTGAACACGTGGAGCAAGTTTATCCGCAATTGTAGGTAATACTTCATCAGCTTCAACTCCTTCACAAATCATTTTGTTTACTTTTTCTGAATAAGTCATACCCAAATAAGTTTCTAAACAACCTGCCGAGTAGTAGAGCTTCACTCTAAGGTCCCGATAACCAAATATAGATTCACTGACAAATAAAATGAATAATTAAGGAAATAATCAATAAAGAAAGTTAATAAATAGAATATATGTAACATGATTGAGAGATCAGTTTACTTAATATTTATATGTAAGTAAAAAATATTTCTTTAGTTATATAAAGCTTAACAAACCTGTCTCCAAATACTTGATGAGACATTTCTGGTTTGAATGTAGTTTCATCATTTTCCAGATCTTCCATAACACGAACCAATTTGAATTCTAAGGCATCATTACTGCTTACAATTAATGCTTTTAATCGTGCTGTAGCTGGATCTTCCATTTTACTCTTCTAATAACAAAATAAAAAATATGGACCACCTTCACAGTCTTCAAATAATTTTGTTGAACCTGTTGGTAATCGAAACAGTTACATATATTTAAAAATTTCCTTGTAAAAATATTGATTATTATTTAATTCATCTTCAAATAAATAAATGAAATTAAAAATATTTAATAATACTACTTACACTATGGAACAGAAACTTCAAAGTATTTTAAATTTTATACTTAATTATATAGATTTGACCTTGATGAATTGGGATCCACAAATTTCATAGGTTATATTCTACGCATATAAAATAAAATTACACAAAAAATGTGGTATGCTCATTATTGTAAAATAAATTAAATACAATTTATCTGGCCAACAATAATTAAAATTTAGTGATTCAATCCTTTAATTAAAAATACTCCGCATAACCCGATGAACGTGTATTTCAGTATTTGAAAAAGTTATCACTGTTATATTAACATTTTTATATTGTTATACCTTTTTAGAGTATATTTATATTATGCGTTTCTGTAAATGCCACTTAATATTCTTCTTTCTCTTAAAAAGACTGTAAAACAACTTCGCGCCAAAAATAAAGCGGTTATTCAAGCTATAGTTATAATCCTCCTGAAGTTTAAGAAATGACTGGTGCCTATACATCGAATACTTATTAGTCATTGGTTACTAACGTAAAGTACCCCCTTTCCATGTAAAACATGGATCTTTTAAATTTAAAGAAGTTAATATTTTGTTTTCAATTTTAATTATATATAATCAATTAGTTGAAACTTATAAATTACGGTTTACTTTTAAATGAAAAATGTTATACTCTACCAACGGTACTACTATAGATAAAAGCATGTCATTTCAAATTCAAACACAAAACAGTAAAAACTGAAAAATCTGTATTTTGAATATAAATAACTTTTAATTGACAATATAGCAAATTAACAAATGAAATTGTATCGATAATAAACTTTTATACAATTTCATATAATTATTTAAAATTGTGAAATATATTACAAGTCTCTACGAATTAATTTTTAAATATGATATATATTTTTGAAATTTAACTAAAAGTCAGTATGTCAACTGGAGAAGTAAAAAAGACGGAAGAACCTTTAATTTTCCATACTTATCCTCTATGTAAAGTATGTAAGCCGGTTAAAATTCGTTAAAAATATTTAAATTTTAATATGCTGCATGTCAATTATAGTCTTTTTTTTTAATAGCATAGTGATATGTCGGAAGAAATGAAACAGGAGGCTATGGAAATATGTGTGACTGCTACTGAAAAGTATACAGACAATTACGAATTTGCGGCTCGAGCAATTAAAGACAGTTTAGACAAAAGATTTGGAGGACCGTTTCACGTAGTTGTTGGCGAATCATATGCTTGTGCAATTATATATCAGGAAAAAACATTATTATATATGTATAATGCCGGTAATATTGCTGCTCTCGTATGGAGAACGGTTTCAAATTTTTGATGAACATATTAAATCTGTGATCATATGCATAAACAAATATGCGTAGTACGTGTTAATATTAAAATTATATGATACCATTACTTAACTTTCAGTCTACATGTACACAATATAGTTTCGATTGTATCAATTATATCTGTAGGCTGTGTGATTTTCCTCATACCTAGTTATTACTTATAACTTCTCATAACTACTAAGGTAATTAGTACTTAGTAGGCTTTTGATTTCATCGACCTCAAAGGCAATATTACACGACGTTAAAAAGGTATGCACTACGTAGACGCGGTATAAGGACAGACATTGCAAGTTTCCAGGACTTCGTGTCACATATTCTGAATTACCGACTGTGTAAAAAAATCAGAGATTTTTGAATGTCTAACAGAATAATTTTTTATATAAATCTGATTGCTGTAATTTACATAGTAAATGTATTTATAAAAATGCTTACGTTTGTGAATGAATAAAAACTGCATTGTCATGAAGTTCTGGTGAATAAATACTACTTCCATTGTTTAAATATATGCACCTTATAGATTTGTTATCGCTAAATCATATGACACACTCGTAGCAAAAATGAAGTATACAGCAAATTCAATTCTCACTAACAAGCTTAAAATCTTGTATTATCGGTAACGTAGATTGTGATACCGAAATGGTATGGGAGCCTTGAGACGCTGCAACTTGATAAGCTGCAACGTCTGTATATACATATCTTATGCTGTGTTTCAATATTTTTTATTTCAATTCCTATCACTTGAAGCGCTGCCATATAAAACCAACCTAAGTCAATATAACAGAGCATAACACGAAAATGGTAAGGGGTTCCCAGAATTCCCAGAGCGTGTGACAAAATTCTACATTGCATGTATTTAGTCTGTAGCACTACTTTTTCGTGCATGACAGAAATCATTCAACTTATTTAACGGTTTCTGAGTTAATGGTTTGAAATCTCAAACGCTTCAGCAATTCTTTTGATTTTATGCAAGATTATTTTATACCAGTTTATAGGATGGTCTTATAACTAATTTGTTTTCTTTTATTGTATATAAAAAAAATTACCTTTCAGTGATGTTTTATATACGTCCCTTTAATATAAAATATCAATATCCGTATGTTTCAATTTCATTAAAAGTACCGAATAATTTAAATGTTATAGTTGAAATTAAGATTTAGTTAATCCCAAACTGAATTTGTAAATATCTACCGGAAAACTCAAGTTTAAATTTAAAGTATGTGAACGTCAGTGACGTACAATCTGCGCAAAATAATTGTGCGTTGGCATTTGGTGCGCACATGCTTCCACGTAGTGACAGGCATTAAACAACATAACCTCTTCAACACTCTTTAATTAATAGTTCCTCTGTTAATGACTTTCTAAGTATACACTTTTAATATCGATAGGAAAACGTTATAAAAATGGTGTCCATCTTAAATACAGTCGACACCGGTCACGAGGACATGATCCATGATGCGGAAATGGATTATTATGGGTTAAGGTTAGCAACTTGTTCCAGTGACAATTCAATAAAAATTTTTGATTTAAAGAATGGATCGCAAAGTTTAGTGGCCGATTTGAAGGGTCACGTTGGACCAGTGTGGCAAGTTGCTTGGGCACATCCTAAATTTGGAAACCTTTTAGCATCTTGCAGTTATGATCGGTATGTTATAATACCATAATGTTACCAATATTGTGCATTTTATAAAAATTATAATTCACTTGAAAGATTCTATTCTATTTAACAATTCCTTTACATTGTTTTTTCTCGTAGAAAAGTAATCATTTGGAAAGAACTGGGGGAATGGACAAAAATTTATGAACATACTGGTCATGATTCCTCTGTGAACTCAGTAGCTTGGGCACCACACGAATTTGGGTTGATCCTCGCATGTGGTAGTTCTGATGGTTCACTGTCTATCCTCACGAATAATGGAGACACATGGGATACACAAAAAATTACAAATGCCCATACCATTGGATGCAATGCAGTAAGTTGGTGCCCTGCCATTGAACCCAGCTTCGATGCCACAGGAACTCAGAGAAATGGACCTGTAAAAAGATTGGCCACAGGCGGATGTGATAATTTAGTGAAGATTTGGAAAGAAGAAGGTGATAGGTGGATTGAAGAAGATAAATTAGAAGCACACAGTGATTGGGTAAGATCTTTGTCATGGATTAAGTGAATTACATGGTGTATAAATACTTTATTTTTGTAAATATTTAAATATAGGTAAGAGATGTTGCATGGGCACCTGCAGTTGGACCATCTAAAGCAGCTCTAGCTTCTTGTTCGCAAGATCGTCGTGTAATTGTGTGGACCTCAAATGATTATTCCAGTTGGACACCAGTTAACCTCAATGTTTTTGATGATGTTATCTGGAATGTTAGTTGGTCATTGACTGGAGGTATTTTAGCAGTTAGTGGTGGAGACAACAAGGTATCTCTTTGGCGTGAAAACACAGAAGGGCAGTGGACCTGCATTTCTGAGACAAATAAAGGTCAAGGAAACCTAAACAATATCGATCAGCGGCCACAATAATAATATCAGAAAATATAACATAGGATATTTTGTACTAATAATTGTTGTAAATTAAAACAACTGTTTCATATTAATAACTATCTTATTTCTTATGCTTGCATTTCTCTGTTGCATATCTATACACAAAGAATTATAATTTACAAAGTAGAATTAAGTCTCAATATTTCACATTCATGGTATAAAGGAAATCGTATTACACTTTCTATTTCACAATATATGCTTCATACATAATGTATACGTTATAAAAATATATACATCTCTTGACGATTAAAATTGAAGATGTGTTAAGAGTTTACACATAAAAATAAATTACTGTACATAGAACTTGTTTCATAATTAATCTGTAGTATATAAAGATGCGGTAAAAACAATGTCTCTTTTAATAACTGTAGAAGCTTCCTCCATCTTTTCTTTCAGAACAGGATCACCGATAGTCATAGCTGCGTTTTTAACGTCTCTTAATGTTTCACTTAATTGTTGAATACATCGCACTATAATTCCTTCCTGTACGTCCGTTTTTTCCATTATTTCAGCGAACGACTTAGATTGCGCCCAATCGTAAACCACTTCCACTAAACCGAAATTTAACGGTTGCAATGTCGATAATTGATAGTGGTTTTCTAAATTTACTAGTTGGGTATATATTTGTTTTATTTCTTCACATCCCTGAACAAAAAGAAACATTAATATGAACATTGATCTTTCACATAATTATATGACGTATAATTATAAAACTACTTTGAAAATTATACCTTTTTCAATGTCGCTGGAAGATTTGGTTCAACTTTCGTTCGTTGTTGGAATATTAAAGTAGACAACAGTGCTGCTATTTCAGCTGGTTCAAGTACCGTAAAGACATTTTTAAGAATAAGTTCTGTGATTAACAACTCATTATTTCCCATTTGCAATGCAACACGACCTTTCAGTGCAACTAAAACACAAGTTTTATTAACTTCCCTGTATTAACGATTCTTCTAAAATAACATTGTAGAATACCTCTTTCATCATGGTCTATATATCCTAATTCCTTAAGAAGGGCAACAGCATTTGTATATTCAGGAAAAAGAATCAATTCCTCATCACTAAGTCTCAGTTGAAGTTTCTTTTTCTTATTTTCCAGTTCATTTCGTTCAAATACAGTCTTAAATTGTTCTTCGAAGTTTGAAATTTTCGTACAGTTCATATCAGAAATCGTTTGCTTTAAATGCAACAAGTTCAACAGTTTCAAGTCCGCGTCGTAATTCAATTTCATCTCTACATATGGTTTCAAAATAGAAGGATCGCGTGCAGCATTCAGGGATAGTGTCATTAACTCTTGTATGGCTGTTTCGTACGTTGGACCATGTGGTTCATTCCTACAAATCATTAGATGGTAGATCGAGTCGAAATTAAAATAATAAATAATTCATATTTATACTACTAACCTAAATCTCGGGATTTGCTTTTTTTCCCAATTCGACAGAACCAAAGTATAATCAACCTTAATCTTGCAGCTAGTTATCTCTAATATGTTCCATATAGGTACGGTTAACACTTCACTAGATGCAACTCCACTCGGTACATATAATTCATGTTTCGTTAAAGCCACAATATCGTGCCACAATGGATCCTTAGGAAATTCGGCTGTTTTGTCTTCAATAGATTTTGATGATTCAGAATCTTTAAGTACTAATACCCTATATTGTCTTATACTTTTACTCTGGACGGTACTCAGCAATAAAGCTAATTTATTATAATGACCTGCAAATGATATAAGCAAAACCCTTCCAGGTTCTAAATATTTCATTTCTCTCTTCTGCGTTTCAAATATTAAGGGTTTCAGATATTTTAAATATTCTATATAATCAATAGCTACTCTATAGAATTCACTGAGTTTTTTCTGTATTTCAGTTAAAGGTGGTGATTTCGCCAGTTCATCTTCCACTTTTTGCAATTGGACTTTGTAAGTGCTTTGCTTAAGAGCTAGCGGAGATTCTTTAAAGGATCTACGCATCATTGCTTCAACCGATACCGACTCATTCACTCTTCTCAGATTTAACACCATAGAGTATGTGACTTTGAATTTAGATTCCAAATTTTGGGGCTGACCACACATCATGGTATTTAATAGGTTGAAATGTGGTACTGATGTCGTACACATAACTATAACCATTCCTGCCGTATCGTGTCCTCTACGACCAGCACGTCCAGCCATTTGTATATACTCGGTGGGATGAAGTATTCGGAAATTAGTGCCATCGAACTTTTTAATCGAATCAAAAATTACTGTACGTGCTGGCATGTTCACACCCATTGCAAATGTTTCTGTTGCAAATAATAACTAAAACAAATAGAATTAGTACTAATGACTATTCACTCTCGTAAACAACGCTCTATAGTTGATTTTAGGGAAAACTAACAGTGAATATATTGAATCTGTTCTAAATACAATGCCTAATCGTAAACTGTAACAGACCTTTACAATTCCATTTTGAAAAAGCATTTCCACTATTTCCTTTAAAATCGGTAATATGCCACTATGGTGAATACCAACACCATTTTGCAATAGTTCCTGCATCATGAGAACCTGTGGTAACTCTCTATCGCTACCCTTTAATTGTTTAATATTATTTTGAAAAAATGTTCTGATGATATACTTTTCACTCTCGGTTGTAAGATCAACATTTCTCAACAGAACAGCGCTATTGTCACAACGCTTTCGTGATAGCATGAAGACAACTACCGGCAACATATTCTGAAATAATAAAATATAATCAAAAATATACATGTACAGTAATTAATCGTTAAATAAATATAATTTAATCATACATTGGTTTTAAGGTGATCTATAAAAGCATTCCACAAGACCTGTTCCTGCTTTGGAGACAACTGATGATTCATTGGTTTTTTCCAATCTTTATCTTTATTTCTTGATTCCTTTGTGTTTAATGCTTTAGTCCACCTGCCATGAAAAATTGTCAATATTTAAAACCGTTGTAAATTCATAATTAAAATATTCAAATACTTAATACACTTAACAAAATATGAATATTTAATATATATAATATATCGTAAAAGATAAGTACCCATCTAGTAAAAATTGACCACTTTCGTCCAACACCAAAAATTTATTGTTTCTTGTTCTACCATCAGTTCCAGTATATAAATAATGTTGAAGTGGTACTGGTCTTTTTAGAGTGCTTATCACATACATCTTCTTTTTCTTAATACGGCCAACCCAGTCCGCAAATATTAACGGATTTGGCACAGTCGCTGACAACATTACTATGTTAACTGTTTTTGGTAAAAGAATGACGCTTTCTTCCCAAACATGACCACGCTGAAATCATAAAATAATGAACCGAATCTTTCAATAAAAATAAAATAAAGTCACGCTGAAGTTATACTCACATCGTCATTATTAATATAATGCACCTCGTCGAATATTACGAACTCTAAATCTCTTAAAACTTCAGATGCACAATATAACATAGATTGTAAAATTTCTGTAGTCATGATAAGACACGAGGCGTTTGAGTTAATTTGTAACTCTCCTGTTAACAATCCAACACTATCGAATTTTCTCTTAAAGTCTCTGTATTTCTGATTCGAAAGTGCTTTAATAGGAGATGTATAGATGACTCTGGAAAGTAGTTATAATTAGTACAATTAATATAATGTCATAAATCTAGTATATAATACCTAGTCATGTGCTTTTGACTCAAAGCAATAGCATATTCTGCTACAGTTGTTTTTCCAGCTGACGTATGAGCTGCAACAAACACGTTACAATTCTCTTCCAACTTTAATATTGCTTGTTTCTGGAAAATGTCCAATTCATAAGGAAAACTCATTGCTAGTTCAGGAATACGTTTTTCAAAATCAATTACTGGAACAGACACATCTATCTGCTCTGCCCATTCCGATTTTCTATTTTCTGAAGGTTTTTCTGAGATTTTTAAAATGGGAACATTCGATTCTTTTAATAATGGAACAATATCATCAAATGATGGTCCTTGTACATTCGAAGTTTCTTTCCCAGTTTCTTCTTCCTTTGTTTCTTTCAGTTCTGGTAACCATAATCCTAGAACATTTCTCTCTTCATTTACAATTGACATTAAATTAATCTTATCTGCTATTCTTTCAATTTCATTTTTCTCTGGTTCTGAAACTTGTTCCTCTTGAGTAACAACCTCTTTAGAAGTACAGTTATCACTCTTAAATTCCACACCAGCACTGAACCCTCTTGCTAATGTTCTTAAATTATTTTCAAAGTCAATTTCTTCCATTGATGGATCCTCTATCATCTCAGGTTCATCAAACCCACCAGGAAAAAATGGAATATTGCTTGTATTACCTATATATAATTTTTGTATTTAATTTGACAAATTTTACTTCAATCTTTAAAAAAAATTGTGACTTAGGATACTTTATTAATACCTCTGATACTTTCCACAGCAGGTCCTGGTGCACGAGTCATAGACATAGAATTTCTTGCAGTTTCACCAGCTGACTGTAAAGGAACTTCACACATTGTCTGTTGTTTTTTACTAATGGGATCACAATCGAATTTTAAAGTAGTTCCAAGTGGGGCTAGGTCAAAGTCTAAAAGGGATAAAATATCTGGTTTTCTTGGCCAATAACATTGTGCATTGACAAGTTTATATGTTGGAAAATTGTCCAAACACACAATATATTCTGTTAACTCCGTCTTGATATCAGGCCCAATAGGTGGTAATTCAAGTGGAAACTACAATATAGGAACATTATGTATTCATAATTATATAAAAATTTGAATTCATAAATCAAATTATATATATATTCATTTTCTTAACATTGCGTTAATTATATAGTAACAAGTCCTTAGCTGGGATTTTCTTTCTAATAATTTATATTTTATAAAAGATTGAAATTATTAACTGTTTATAATCTCTAAAAATTAAACAATTATAGTTTTTCCAACTATTACTACATAGTAATTATCATTCCAAAAGTTTTTTATGTATATTTTAAAAATTAGAAGATTCCAACAGTTTTGATAAAGAAAAAAGTTGATCCAATTGTTGTTTTCTATAACATATATAAAAAATTATCAAAATCCGAACAGAGGATATGCTGTTACTATAATAATTACCAATATATTAAATATAAGCAGTTTTATAAATAAAAATTACCTCTATATTTATATTATCCTTTATATCCATTTTGTAAGTGGTATTTATTTGATTCATATAATAAAACTTTGTAGTAATTGTTCAGTACATTTTGATTTATCCTTTAAAACCTAATAAACATTGATAAATTCTGTATAATAATCTGTAACTAAGAAAGGAAGTATAAAAATAATAATATTTACATAAATTAAACGTACGTTTCAAGTTTCAAATTACTGGCATAGACGTCAGATTTTATGTTTGTGTTACAATTTTAACAGAAAGCTTAAAAATGTTACGACATAAAATTATTCCATATATTATGTTTTTCGCAAATTGTCATACAACAATAAAGGTTATCTATAAACATTCTGATTGTGTTGGCAACAACTGTCACTCTACCAACATGAAATTAAATTTATTTCCTAGATTCTAACATGAATAAATCTTAACTTAAAAAGTTGGGTAGTAAATGATACCAGTTTTAATTTTGTACTCCATTTACCAATCATTTATTTATGGTATACTTTTTGACTAATTCTAATCACCATTATTATTGTGGAAAAATTCAATGAAGAATATATTGTATTACATAATTATATTCAGATATTTAAATAAAATTCATAGAGACATTTATTTAGATACGACAGTATTGTGTTTTGTTGGTAATGCATTTGAAATATTACCGTATTATTATATAGATAGCCTTGGGTCCGGTAGTCTCTATTCACATTACTATTAAATTACAAACATGAGACGGAAAGTAGATAAAATTTTACAAGAAATATTTTACAATGTTCAGTTTAATAAAACTAACCACGTAAATAACTTGAAAAAACTAAAGAAATGTTATGAACAGGTATAGCACTGTATCATATTAGCTTATAAAATTTGTGTTATTACTTTCAAAATATTAATAAGCAATACTTATTTTATTTTAGGCTAACTTTGAAGAATTCTGGAACTCATTTGAGTCGTGTTTTAGAGTTCCTCTCAGCATTGCTCAACATCATGTAAGAATTTTAAATACTTTGGAATTTGTTGCCAAATTTATTACCAGTTTATACACAGTGTCAAATGATGAAGAAGAAGAAACAGAATTATGCCCCTTTCTTGTTAAAATTTTTAACTTTATTCTTACAAATCATTGTGCTAAAGATCCAGCTGTGAGATTTCGCATTTGTCATTTCTTAAATATTTTATTGAATTCTATGGGAGATCAAGCTTTTATAGATGATGCTCTCTGTGATAAAATTACTGTGTCCATGATGGACCGTGTATTGGATAAGTCACCAAAAGTTAGAACACAAGCTATTTTTGCATTACATAGACTCCAAGATCCAACGGATGATCAATGTCCAGTTATAAAAATGTATATGTTCCATGCTACAAGAGATCCAAAAGCAGAGGTTCGTAGAGCAGCATTAATGAGTATGGGAAAGAATCAAAAAACTTTGCAAGTGGCATTAAAACGTACCAGAGATGTGAGCGATAAAGTACGGAAAATGGCTTATGAATTCATTAGCAAAGTTACAGTAAGATCGTTGACTATTACACAAAGAGATCAATTATTGAATGATGGTTTGAAAGATAGATCAGAAATAGTTAGAAAATGTGTAGAGAATACTCTACTACCATCGTGGTTAAGACATTTTAATGGCGATTTTATCAGTTTAATAAGGGCCCTTGATGCTGAAATTGGTACAGATGTGTCCACAATAGCTTTAGAAACTTTATTCAAGTAAGCATTCCATTTATATTTTATTATACAGAATTTTTTGGTTAATTAATTATTATTTTCATTGTTTTTAATGATATGGGAAAGTGAACCATACATCTGAAATAATATTTTATTTTTACTTATTTAGGAACAGTGCATTAAACACACTAATGGAACAATTACCAATAAATAAGGAAACAAAATTAATCCCAATAGATAAACTGGGTAGTGAGAATGTATTGTACTGGAAATGTTTAATAAAACATCTTTACCGCGAGTCTTATACAGAACAGCTGGAGATAATTTTACCTGAGTTATCTGTATTTTGTGCATATATTTCAGACTTTATAGCATCGATATCCATAGATCAAAATGAAATGTGGGTAAACGAAATGCAAAAATTCATTCTTTTACAACTATTTGAGATAGTAACTACATATGATTTATCTGATGAAGTTGGAAGACAAAAATTGAATGAATTAATATGTAACACATTAATGAGTTCCTACTGGTCTGAAAAAATCATACAATGTACAGTGACACATTTACAGAAAGTTATACCAGATGTAAATACTAGATTAGATGTTTTGGCTAACATAATCAGTGATATCAGATTACCTTTGAAAGAACCTACACAAAGTAACCAAGTGTCTGAAACACAACAGCATGACATGAACTTGAAGGTAAGTTTGTAATACTAAAATTATTATTATTGATTATTTTAATCCATGCTTAGCACATAGCATTTTATAGAGAGCAAAACTCAAAGTGAGATTGTTGGAACTGAAAGAGGAAGAATATCAAGCTATACAAAACAAACAATATTTGAAGGCAGACCAATTGAAGAATGAAATAGATAAACTAAATGAAGAAATCATGAAACTGTCAGAAGTACCAGAACTACCAACGGTTATAGAAGATATCAAGGAAAAGAGTGATCCAGAAACAATGATTAAATGTTTAAGCATAATATGCACTATGATGCAGTCAGTGACTTCTTTAACACCAACTCTTAGAAGTCTTATGCAAATAGCTATCAATAGTTTAGATGTAAGTATTTTCGATTATCACTTTCTTTTTAAGTAGTAAACGTAATTCTTGTTTCTCAGGATGCCAATGACAATGTTCATATATTGGCAATAAAAGCAGTCAGCATTTGTTCTATATTAAATAAAGAACTGGCTAAACAGCATATCATGATGTTGTTTTTCCAATTTTCTTTGGAACAAGAAAACCCGGAAATTTGGATTGTAACATTAAAAGGAATTTTCGATCTTTTATTGTTGTATGGACTCGAATATTTTGATATTTTGGAAAATTCAAATGATACTACCAGTAGGACTGAAAAATCTCGTACTGTGAAATTGTACACGGAAACTGACAAGGAAATTTCTCTATCATCAACTCAACAATCTAGTACAGAACAAACCAACTGTAATTTTATTCAAATTTTAGCAAGATTATTAGACAATGAGGTGTGTATACATTAAATTATATTTAACGCGATAAATATTATACAAATAACATAATTTTTCTAAACAGAATCAAGGATTACGAACGATTGCTGCTGAAGGTATTTGTAAATTGTTAATTAATCAACGAATCAGTAGCTCAAATTTATTATCGAAATTAATTCTGTTATGCTATAACCCAATGAATGACAATGACTTTTATTTACGACAATGTTTGAGCGGATTCTTCGATAATTTTATATTACGTGTACCGGATGCGCAAGAAATGTTTGAAGAAGCCTATCTGCCGACATTACAAGTCTTATGCAACGCACCTGATAGCAGCCCCTTGCAGGAAATTGATCCCTACGAAGTGTCTAAATTTATGTTGAATATAACCAGATATGGGATTAAGAAATCTGGCACAGACAATTGCGTTCACAAGAATCTTGCATTTACTATTTTAGTGGAAGTACTGAATCCAAATAGTAAAATTAATCAAGAAGTTCTTATTAAATCTTTGAAAAATTTACATTTAGAAATAGATGACAACGCGTCGAAAGAAAATTTACTCATAGCTATTGATAAAATTGTTGAAATAGTAAGTATAATAATGTACAAAGTAGAATAATCTGATCTTGATTATAATTTTCAAAATTATTAATTCATGTTAATATGACCTCTATATAATTTTAACAGTAAATAATAATGTGACTTGTACATTAATGATAATTTCTCTACAAACCGTATAATCACCAGATAAGTATGCTAAGTAATTAACATTTGTTGTAGGTGAAAGATAACGACAGGCGCTTATTCAATCATATAGAGGCTTTTAAACAAAAGTTAGTAACTCCGAATGCTGTTGACGAGCCAGAAGATGAAGACACCGAAACCGATGACTGAAAGTTATCTGATAATTAATAAGAAATATTTATTATACAAACAAACAAGGAATTTTATTCACTGTATTTAAATACAATATTTTTTAATAAAAAAGATTTTTAAAATTTTTCGTTAGCTGCAATATCGTTTCAAATATTTCACAGTAGATGGTACAGTTCGCCTGTTCCCAGATGGTAACCACTCTATTAGTTATCTGGGTCAAGGGGCAAGGGGAGACGTCCACTCACCGTGCTTGACCCGATTGTTATGGCAACTGTTGCGGCATGTCTTTTTTACTGGCCGAGCCACGGGACGAAGAAAGCAGACGACCAATAATCAAGGACATGCCGCAACTGAGCCACCATAATAATCGAACCGAGCGCGGCGAGTGGTCGTCTCCCTTTGCCCTCCGACCCGAATAGCCAATCCAGTGGGTACCATGTGGGAAGAGACGCACTGTACACAAGTTTGTTTATGGATACTTCAAACGGCTTGCTGTCACTATTTTGTACGGTTATCGAAGTACTAAGCGCAGAATTGAGTTTGATAATTATGGAGAAACTTGAAAAACCGCAAATCATTTGCCATATTGAAAAATCAGTGAATTACTCCTTATTCGATGCGAAATGGATACCGTGCAGCGCGAAGTTTGTGGTTATGGGCTCTCGGCCGCGTGGTAGTGGGATTATACAAATTTACGAAATTTCCAGCGGTGAATTAAAACTCCTGAAAGATGTTGAAAGATCACAACCAATAAAATGTGGAACTTTTAAAGCCTCCAGTTTAAAGGATAGATACTTGGCGACCGGTGATTTTCAGGTATTACAAAAATACTCAATTAATATCGTTCTCAAAGCTGGGAAATACTATTGTAGCATTTGACACATTGTAAGTTTAATAATAATAATATTGAAACATGTACACCGAAGGTTGTCATGATAAACATGCTTTCACAAGTGTTTCCTGGTACAAATAGAAAATGAACAAAAATTTAATGAATTCTTGTTCTTATATCCAGAAGACTTAAAGTCACCTTTATTAGGGTAAACTAAATATCTACAACTTAGAAGATCCTTCAATCCCAATTTACACAGTCAATGCCCACAATGAGATTATAAATAGCATTGATGGTGTGGCTGGACAAAGTATTGGATGTGGAGCACCTGAATTAGTAACTGGTTCCAGGGATGGAAGTGTTAAAGTTTGGGATCCCAGGCAAAAAGGTCAACCAGTAGCTGTTATGGAACCTAAAGAAGGGGAAACCCGTAGAGACTGTTGGACAGTCACATTTGGAAATTCATATAATTCTGAGGAAAGAGTTGTGGCTGCTGGTTATGATAATGGAGATGTAAAAATGTTTAATTTGAAAACAATGTCCCTTCAGTGGGAAAGTAATCTTAAAAATGGTGTTTGTAGCATTGAATTTGACAGAAAAGACATTCGAATGAATAAGTTGGTAGCAACTACTTTAGAATCCAAGTTTTATTTATTTGATTTAAAAACACAACATCCCAAGAAGGGATTTTCCTATCTTACTGAAAAGGTAGTTGTTAAAGTCATATGACAGAATTTTAATGTAATAGGATCTATGTGCGATTTAATCTAATTTAGGTAATAATTCTAGGCTCATAATTCAACAATATGGCTAGTCAGGCACTTGCCACAAAATAGAGAAATATTTGTTACCTGTGGTGGTAGTGGAAGCCTTTGTCTGTGGAAATAGTGAGCATAAATTTTATATTCTGCTCTTTTTTGTTTTATTATTAATATTTTATATTTATATTAAATATTTTTTTTCATTTTAGCAATTATCCAGAAAAAAGAAAACTGACTGATGCAGATGGAATAGATCAGGGTGTTGTGGGTAATTTAAATCTTTTACAAAATGTTACTCTTTCAACACAGCCAGTTAGTTCTTTGGACTGGAGCCCAGACAAGCAAGGACTTGCTGTTTGCACAGCGTTTGATCAATGCTTAAGAGTCATTATTACCACGAAACTGAATACTTTTTAATCGAACGGAGGAAATCAATTACAAGTTTTCTGTATACAAATCTTTCTGTGCAGGAAGAGCAGTAATGCAAGGATGGACAATTAATGTTAATGAAACGTTCCATCATTGTATTGATAGTTGTAATGTGATTGAAAAACTACTTTAATTTATGTTTTATCAATCAACAAAAAAAAGCAATAAATAATTTAAAAAAGAAGAAATGCTATTCTATTTTTATTCTCTTTATTAGAAATGTTAACTTAGATTTACCCAGTTTGACAATCGAGCGGTTTCATAGAATTTCTAAGAGATGGCAGCACTGGTGTTTTCAACGTCTATCGATTTTTCTTTATTTGCAATGTTTCTTGCGGTTGGAAGCAATTGCGCAACCTCACACGGGCGGCCAGATAAAAGCGAATTATATGTCATTGGGCCAATCTATTTAGGATCAGACCCTTATTAAGTGGCAGCCATGCTACAGAGCAACGCGTTACGTAATGGGTTGCCATGTTGGGGCTCTAAGCGAGCCCACGCAAAGTGCACTTATGCCACATTGCTCGAAGTAGCATTCAACCGTGCAAGGTCAGAAATACCGCGAGTTTAATTACATAAATTAGCTCTTGGCTCTTCTCCTTCTATTTGCCCCTCTATCGCGTGTTTTTTTCAGTTCCTGCTCTCCTATCCTTAGCAAAATCGCATTCCAATTGGACAGAATATTTCGCCTTTGGCTATGTTCTCCAAAATGGCGTCTTGCGCGTGTTGTACCGTAACATGCCAGTGAATAAATTCTTTTTTATCTGTGTGTTTCGTAGAAGTATAAGGAGGAAACATATCTTTTATCCTTCTTCTAATTTTTCTAATCAATTTTGAAATAATAATTGTCAAAAATATCTTACTGTACCAAATTTACTGTTTTCATTCCAGTTCGTTACTAGAAATCAACAATTCAAAATGCAGTCAACTGATTGCTTCAGAAATTTGTTGTAGAAAAACGTATTTAGTAATTGTTTAAATTTCCTAGATACGATTGTCATAAACTTAAAACTTCCTATTTATCCGCAATATTCTTGCATTACTACCAATTTTCATTATCATTTCTTCAAACTGAATTGCTCTTTTTTAGATTACTTTTTAGACTGATTACAGATGGAAATTTTATGATGATATATTCTTGTCTACACCAAAAAGACTTTTGCGTACCTACAATTTTCCCAGTTTTTAATTGTTTCAAGTTTGTTACTTCTGAAACGTTATTGTACGAATTTAGAGTTCAAATTTTGCGCCTCAGAAGAAACCAACTAATTTCTTCAGTGTCTGTATCGCCAGGTCTGAATTAGGAAAGTAAATGATTTAGCAAAGAACTAAGGATCACAGGTGTAAGGGTCAGGTATAAAAATATTTTTATTAATTACCAGGTTTCATAAATGTGGCAGTAACAACAATGCTCAACGGAGATCCATAAAGAATGTGAGTGATGACAAAAACCGTAGCAAGTCTTCTTTCTGTTCGATGATCATCTCATTTTTTCGCGAGGAAAAACCGGAATAGTTTCAAATGATCCGTTCATGATATTTTACGATCCGCTTAAAAAAAAAAATGAAAGAAAAACAAAGAGTCTACTTAAAATAGAAATTTTCTAAGTCATATTGTGAACGCGTGACGTAGTTTAGAACGCTAGTTTTTTCATGAGCAGGTACATGTGTTGATCGATCTCGAAACCGTGTAGGTTGTTTGCGTCACCCTGCAACCTCATCAACAATCCTCCGAACGATACGTAGGCAGATCTGTAACAGAAGGAAAAAGTGGATCTGAAGTCACACAGAACTCGACAAGGACGCGCGTCTATTGTCTCGTTACGAATCTATCGATTCTTTCGCTTCGAGGAACCGAATCAGTGATTACTCCCATTACTCGTCTCTGATAACGGAGTTGTTCCAGTAGCAAACAATTATGCCTTTCGTGGACAGATACAGCTCAGAGATATTATAGAACTACCATGGTCCGTAAATCTTCAAGTAAAGAAAAACAATGGGAATTCTAATCAGAATTCTTGACTAGTTGATTATTTTTCACATCCCTTAGACAGTTCCATGATTCGAAATGAAATCTAACGAGAGACCGCGGGGACGGTGATCCTTCCAGATACGTTCCACGCTTTCGATGTCTCAAGTTTCCATGTTGTTGTTCTTGATCGTAGATCTGCGATCGTCATATAATCGCAGTGCCGATAGTGGTCGTGTCTAAGATCAACTACACAACCAGCTAACCACACTGCCAACATGCCAATCGCAAAAATGTTCTTCCAAGGATTCCCGGTTCTTCGTCCTCAGCCATGTCGATTATACCGCAGTCTCGTTGCTCCTGGTGTCTAAGGAAGCTCGATGTCTGCGCCCTCTGATCGATCCCGCTACGACGCAGAGATTCGACGGAACGATTAAACGGAAGATGATGCGTTTGTCTAAAATGAAAGTGTTAACAATTTCACACCGACTCACGACATTCGAAGAGAACGGTGAAACCCTGAACCCTGTTCGCCGAATCTAAAGACTAAACGGGACTCGCGTTGAAATCGCGAGACAATGTGGTCGTATTTACATAATTCGAGTAAAGTATTGCCAGTTGAAATAAAATGTGTCGATATTTTTTAAAAACATACACGAGTCACTCGTCGGTCTTCTGTGCATGAATAAACCCAAGACGATTTGGGGCTTCGCATTTACGATTGCACGAATCGAGTTGCAGTTTTTAAAGAAAGCGCGCGCGTCTCGAGCACACTGAACGCATAAGAAAAGAAATATTCTGAGAACTATTCTAAATGTCGCGTTACGAGAGGTTAGCGTCACTAGGAAACTGCTTTTTCAATTCATTTCGCGCAATTAACGATTCTTAGTTTTCTTTTCTTATTAAGCGTTCTCTTTTGCTTCCATGCAAGTATTTGGCGCCTCGATCGTTCAATACTATCTGCTGACGATAGATGAATCTTTAAACGAGCCTCGAATTATTTATACGCGTGTTTAGGAAGTTGCGACGACGCTATCGATCGACCTTGCTCCAAAATTTCCGGCTATTCCCTAGTGAGAGCTGATTATTTTTAACTGGTGCGTGTTCTGGCTGCTCTCCGTTCCTCCCATCTATCGACCTCCTTTCCATCCTCGTCTAGGATCTGCACTTCAATTAAGGTCCTCTATATTAAAATCCTTGGACGTCAATACCTGAAAGCCTTCGATGTGTCATTGGCAGTGAAAATTCTCGCGGAGTTGCCTATTACTATTCTATTTACGAGCTAGCTGAAGTCGTTTATTCTTAAAACAATATGGCGCACAGTACATATCGATCCGCCATTTTCTGTATCGCCTTACGCGCGAAAGGTCCATCGGAAGCAATTTTCGTTTGCTGCTAACTCTTATCGATAAAACCGAATGAATTTTATTGCCGACTTATTACGTGTGCGCTGCTCAAAAGTTTGGAAAGCAGATTCGTAGCAAAGATCCAAAGAGCTCCGTGTAGCTAGAATGATCTGTTCCAGTGCATTAATTTCCGAAGTCCATTGACTCAAAACTTATGAGCAGCGGGGCACGCGAAATCTAGACTGCTATACTACTGTTTCGCGATTATGAATGTTACTACCATTGAAAAGTTCATGCGAAAGTTATTCGCAATTAATTAACGGTTTCCGGACAGCTAGTCGATTAAATCTCTGATAGTTGAAGCGTACACTCTAAGAACTGATGTCTAGCGAAGTCAGGGTACCAAAAGGCTACGCCTGAAAGGTGGACGGTATGAAATGAAATGATGGGAGGTGGGGATGCTCAGCATGATTTTTATTGTCATTACAATTACAACGAGCGGTGATCGAGTACGATGAGAGAAGGCGTGGCTTACGTGCTAACAGTTTCGAAGTTCACAATACTTGAACAGGGAGAGGGGAACAAAGTAAACAAATAAATAATACACGAAAAAAGTCGACCAGCGTCCATCGAAACGGCCATTTGTCATCGAAGGATCACGGGCATCGCAAAAAAATCATTATCACGCCCGTTACATGATCGACGAGAATCTGCAATATGGCGGCGAATCTCGGGTAAACGCGATCCTTACACGATACTCTCATCGAAGCGGGACACGCGTGTCTTATATAACGTGACGATTGAAGCGTGCCAGGCATGAAAGGGCCAACCAGCTGTGAAACGTCCGCGGCGGATGATTGTTGCACCGTTGAAGCTACGATTGGCCGGACAGCAGAACAAGAATCATTAGCCCGCGTGCCATAAAGTAACGAAACGGCCAGAATTGTCGGAGTAATACGTATAGAGTAATTCCGGCTGAAACGGCCCGATTTCATTTACATCAACAGATGTCTACATTTCTAATTGCTTTCAGTGGTATACTGGAATCTTGCGCAGGCTTATTTAATTACTCTTCTCGTATGTTTGCGCTTTCATATATTTTCGTGTAGGTACGATACGTGTAATATTCATTTAAGCAATGTGAGCCATTTCTCCCAGACTTACTCTACAAGAAATCGACGAAGAACGCCGACGGAAATCGTTTTTGCTCGCGTGAAAGGATCCCGTGGACATGCGTGTTTACGTTCGCAGAGACGCGCCGCTAAATAAAGAAAGCCAACAGTGATTTTTGCGAAAGACACGGATTCCTGCCGAGCCGACGCGGATAGATTTATCGCGACGCACACCTCGCCTCAGTCCGGCAGCAAACAAGTTTCCCCCGTGTATTCCTCGTGCGTGGATCGCCATTGGTATCGCAGAATACGCGTCGACCGCGGTGCACACAATGCCCATTGTGATCGGAGTAAAAATATCGTAAGGCCATGGGGGGTTTTCGTTGCTTCTAATCTTTCGTTGGGGTAGCTACCGGTCTAACGCAGAGATTCGCAAAGTTATTTGGCCCACCACCCACTTTTCAGGAAACGAATTAACATCCCCGGTGAGCGATGTGCCCTCTTTGAGAACCACTGGTCTAACCGACGGGACGCGCGGCGGCCATTTTGGACCGTTCGTTGTTGCATTCTTCGTTCAAAACATGCGCTCGTTCAACACAAAATTTGGAAGCTTATAAGATACTTTAT